CTGCAGCAGCCACACCGAACCCACGGAGAATATTGGTGATGAAGGGGGTCTATTAGCGAAGTTGACCGGTTACCACATGTCAGGATCAGTCAACAGCAAGGGTACAGTATTCTCAACCACAAGGTTTAACGGCGTGGCTGCAACTGTGAGCTGGGGCACAGGAACTGTTAGATCTCGCTGGAGCTAGATCTATACCTTGGTCCTTGGCTCCGCGCGAGAAAGAATTCACGGAAAAGCCTGGTTTGTGATCCAAGTGAGTTTTATGAGAAGTTAGAAGAAGTTTCAGGTTTACATGGCACCCGAGGGGCTCCTCCAAGCGTGCAGCTTGTCTGGAAACTGCGCAGAGTCACGCAAAAGTGTCTCCAAAGGTCTCCGGGCTCCTGCCTTTTCAAGGATTCCACGGGGAGGCGTGGTGGATGACCCCTGATTGACCCCCTTGGCTGAATTGAATTCACCTGGCCTAGGTGGGCCAATTCAGGTTCACGCCCACCCATGCCTGCCATGGGAAACCTGAGCCTCTGGGCATGTGCAGTGCGCTACTCCTTTGTTCCTGCATGCATTAACGGACATTCCCCAGCCCTACACTAGCCTACCTAACAGAACCAGGGTGAGGATGGCTCAGGGCCGTGTAGCGTTTGGTTCTGCTGTGCAGAGGGTCACTGTGGGTCGTACCCGACTCTCCCTCCTCTTCGAGAGCCAGCATGCTCAAGCACCTCACTGTGGTTCTTGTGCCAAAATGTCACCAACAGTCTTCCCTCACCCTCCTTGGCCCTCGATCCCACTGGTAATTGATTCCTCCTGAGGACATTCCCAAGCACATGCATCAGACTGTGGTCTGTGGGGTTTCATAGGCTAGCCTTTCTTCCGAGGCTTAGTCTAGAAGCGCTGCCGACATCTGTCCACAAGGAGTCACCCTGCTGGTATTTGAACCGGTGGCATAGCTTCCAGCAGCACAGCAACATGCAAGCCACCACTGTACAACAAAGGTGACTAACAAGTGGTAGAGAGATGT